AGATCTTGGCCAACAACCTCCTTCCCTCAGTAAGAGCATTGAAGATGGGTCGTGGCTGGGTCTTCCAGCATGACAACGACCCGAAACACACAGCCAGGGCAACTAAGGAGTGGTTCCGTAAGAAGCATCTCAAGGTCCTGGAGTGGCCTAGCCAGTCTCCAGACCTGAACCCAATAGAAAATCTTTGGAGGGAGCTGAAAGTCCGTATTGCCCAGCGACAGCCCCGAAAACTGAGGTCTGTATGGAGTAGTGGGCCATGGAGTAGGTCTGTATGGAGTAGTGGGCCAAAAACCCTGCTGCAGTGTGGTCAAGACCTACAGGAAATGTATGATATCTATAATTGCAAACAAAGGTTTCTGTACCAAATATTAAGTTCTGCTTTTCTGATGTATCAAATACTTATGTCATGCAATAAAATGCAAATTAATATCTTAAAAATCATACAATGGGATTTTCTGGATTTTTGTTTTAGATTCCGTCTCTCACAGTTGAAGTGTACCTATGATAAAAAATTACAGACCTCTACATGTTTTGTAAGTAGGAAAACCTGCAAAATTGGCAGTGTATCAAAAACTTGTTCTCCCCACTGTAGGTGTGTCCAAACTTTTGACTGGTAGTGTATATGTACTGATGTGTGGGTGACTGTCAGTAATTTGTGTGACTGTCAGTATGACCTTTTCTTTTCTTCTACTTTTCTTATTTTAAAGTTGTGTTGTTCTGTCCTTGAGCTGTTCTTGTCTATTGGTATTCTGTATTATGTCATGTTTTATGTTTTGTTTTGAATCCAGGAAGTGTAGCTGCTGCTTCAGCAACAGCAAATGGGGATCACAATAAAATACTAAAAAGTAAAACATGAGTTATAAAGGTTTTGAAAGTAGCGCTCACGAGCCAAAATGGGTCCACAAAAATGTTGCGCAATTGTGTACGTCATCCATTTCGTATATGTTACATATTGCAAAAAATATTTTTTTTAAATCCTGCAATTCGTATGATATGTTAAAATTCTAATTCGTACAATATGTTACGAATTTGTAAGTTCTTAAATGAAAAATATTTTTTACATTATTCCACTGTTAATACAGTCCCAAAATGTTGTACATGTCAGCAGAATGTAAACTGAATAGTTTTTGCTAAATATCATCATGGATAAAATGTACTGCATATGACAAATAATGGTGTCTTTGATTCCACAGAAGCAGGGTTTTCTTTTTTTGTGAAAACATTTATAAATCAAATCAATTTTTATTTGTCACATACACGTGTTTAGCAGATGTTATTGCGGGTGTAGCGAAATGCTTGCGCTTCTAGCTCTGACAGTGCAGTAATATCTAACAAGTAATATCTAACAATTTCACAACATATACCCAATACACACAAATTTAGTAAGGAATGGAATTTAAGAATATATACATATATGGACAAGCAATGACAGAGCGGCATGGACTAAGATACAGTAGAATATTATAGAATAGAATACAGTATATACATATGAGATGAGCAGTGCAAGATATGTAAACATTATTAAAGTGACTAGTGTTCCATTTCTTAAAGTGGCCAGTGATTTCAATAGGCAGCAGCAGCCTCAAACCTTCTCCACTGCGGTCCCGTCGATGTGAATATGGGGGTGCACCCTCTGCTGTTTCCTGAAGTCCACAATCATCTCCTTTGTTTTGTTGACGTTGAGTGAGAGGTTATTTTCCTGGCACACACACTCCCAGAGCCCTCACCTCCTCCCTGTAGGCGGTCTCGTCATTGTTGGTAATCAAGCCTACTACTGTTGTGTCATCTGCAAACTTGATGATTGAGTTGGAGGCGTGCTTGGCCACGCGGTCATGGGTGAACAGGGAGTAAAGGAGGGGGCTGAGCACGCACCCTTGTGGGGCCCCATTGTTGAGGATCAGCGAAGTGGAGATGTTGTTTCCTACCTTCACCACCTGGGGGCGGCCCATCAGGAAGTCCAGGACCCAGTTGCACAGGGCGGGGTTCAGACCCAGGGCCTCGAGCTTAATGATGAGCTTGGAGCGTACTATGGTGTTGAATGCTGAGCTATAGTCAATGAACAGCATTCTTACATAGGTATTCCTCTTGTCCAGGTGGGATAGGGCAGTGTGCAGTGTGATGGCGATTGCATCGTCTGTGGATCTATTGGGGCGGTAAGCAAATTGAAGTGGGTCTAGGGTGACAGGTAAGGTAGAGGTGATATGATCCTTGACTAGTCTCTCAAAGCACTTCATGATGACAGAGGTGAGTGCTACGGGGCGATAGTCATTTAGTTCAGTTACCTTTGCTTTCTTGGGTACAGGAACAATGGTGGCCATCTTGAAGCATGTGGGAACAGTAGATTGGGAAAGGGAGAGATTGAATATGTCCATAAACACACCAGCCAGCTGGTCTGCGCATGCTCTGAGGACACGGCTAGGGATGCCGTCTGGGCCGGCAGCCTTGCGGGGGTTGACATGCTTAAATGTCTTACTCACGTTGGCCACGGAGAAGGAGAGGCCACAGTCCTTGGTAGTGGGCCTCGTCCGTGGCACTGTGTTATCCTGAAAGTGGGTGAAGAAGGTGTTTAGCTTGTCTGGAAGCGAGACTTCGGTGTCGGCGACGTGGCTGGTTTTCCTTTTGTAGTCCGTGATTGTCTGTATACCCTGCCATATACATCTCGTGTCTGAGCCGTTGAATTGCGACTCCACTTTGTCTCTATACTGATGTTTTGCCAGTTTAATTGCCTTGCGGAGTGAGTAGCTACACTTTTTGTATTCTGCCATATTCCCAGTCACCTTGCCATGGTTAAATGCGGTGGTTTGCACTTACAGTATTGCGCAAATGCTGCCATCTATCCACGGTTTCTGGTTAGGGTAGGTTTTAATAGTCACAGTTGGCACAACATCACCTATACACTTCCTGATAAACTCAGTCATCATATCCGTGTATTCGTCGATGTTATTCTCAGAGGCGGCCCAAAACATATCCCAGTCCGCGTGATCAAAACAATCTTGAAGCATGGATTCCGATTGGTCAGACCAGCGTTGAATAGTCCTTAGCACAGGTACTTCCTGTTTCAGTTTCTACCTATATGAAGGGAGGAGCAAAATGGAGTCGTGGTCAGATTTGCTGAAAGGAGGGCGGGGGAGGGCCTTATAACCATCCCGGAAGTTCGAATAGCAATGGTCGAGGATTTTAGCAGCACGAGTACAACAGTCGATATGTTGATAGATCTTCGGCAGCCTAGTCCTCAAATTTTCTTTGTTAAAATCCCCGGCTACAATAAATGCAGCCTCAGGATATGTGGTTTCCAGTTTGCATAAAGTCTAGTGAAGTTATTTGAGGGCCGTCGTGGTATCGGCTTGAGGGGGGATATACACGGTCGTGACTATAACCGAAGAAAATTCTCTTGGGAGAAAATACGGTCGGCATTTGATTGTGAGGTGTTCTAGGTCGGGTGAACAGAAGGACTCGAGTTCCTGTATGTTACTACAATTACACCATGAGTCGTTAATCATGAAACACACACCTCCACCCTTCTGCTTCCCGGAGAGATATTTATTCCTATCTGCACGATGAACTGAGAACCGATTTCGACAGAATATCCCCAGAGAGCCATGTTTCCGTGAAACAAAGTATGTTACAGGCCTTGATGTCTCTCTGGAAATAAATCCTTGCCCGGAGCTTGTCGAGCTTGTTAACCAGAGACTGAACATTAGCGAGTAGCATACTTGGAAGCGGTGGGTGGTGTGCGTGCCTCCTAAATCGAACCAGCAGGCCGCTCTGAGTGCCTCTCCTCCGCCGGCGATGTTTTGGGTCAGCCACTGGAATCAGTTCAATTGCCCTGGGGAGAGCAAACAAAGGATCTGCTTCGGGAAAGTCGTATTCCTGGTCGTAATGCTGGTGAGTTACCACCGCACTGATATCCAATAATTTTTCCCGGCTGTATGTAATGATACAAATTGATACAAATCACTTTCTGAGCTAATAATGTAAAAAATAATCCATAAAAAATTAAATACCGCAAAGTTTCCTAAGAGCTAGTCGCGAGGCCGCCATCCTCGTCGGCGCCAGGGAATATATCATTGCACATCATGTTTCTGGGTTTTTTTTTATTGTTTTTTTAAAATGTTAATTCAACTGCTAATGATTGGCCAGGACCTTAAAAGAAAAATGCACTCAAAAAATGTATTTTGGGATTTCTTGCATTTGTCCACTGTTGATACAGTCAAAATGTTTTGCATGTCAGCAGTTACGTTTTCAAGATATTGGACTTTGAAGAAGCAAAGTGTCACTTGCCACATCATCATGATGATGATAATGTGGCAAGTGACACTTTTTCAGGTAGCCTAGCGGTTAAGAGCGTTCCACCAGTAACTGAATGGTCGTTGATTTGAATCCCCGAGATGACAAGGTGAAAATTCTGTCGATATGCCTTTGAGCAAGGCACTTAACCCTCATTTCTCCTGTAAGTCGCTCTGGAAAAGAGCGTCTGCTAAATGACTAAAATGTCAAATTTAGCAAAAACAATACTTAGAAGCATTCAGTTTACATTCATTTTATGGCAACAATATCAACTAATCAGCCATATAGTTCTACTGTAGTTTTACACATTTAATAACATGGTGTCCATAAGCATATTTGAAATCAGGAATTAATTAATTCATTTAATAATTCTTAATAAGTACGGTAACAGTAGATGTTTTATTTAAAGTCCACTTTTGAATTCAGTGACATGAGTTGTACATAAAGGACTAAAACCTAAGTTGAGATCTGTTTGTATAACCCATAATTTTAAAGACATTTTTAATTGGTATCATGATTCGATGTGGCGGTTGATGCTGATGTACACTTGCACTGCATCTGGGCAGTTTCTATCTTAATATCAATTCAGCATATTTTTGTTCTATGTTGATGACCTCAAAATCCAGACTGTGGTTCAACGCTCTGGAAGAGATGCTCTCAGAGAAAACCTTCTCCCATGCGTAGGAGTGACGCCACCTGACGTAAAACAATGCTCACAATTTGGACAGCACATGGGGTTTGACACTGTGATAGAGATGCTCTCGCAGAAAACGTAGTATCTTCTCCCATGAGTCTTCCTGTGCTACGGCGTGAGGTTTGGTGAGGCCTCCCCACAGCATGACCACTGCAACAAGTTGGAATAACAGCTTTAGATTTGAAACATGGTATTCTAATGACTGTGTAATGTAGACCTACATGAAAATACTGGTATGTTCAAGTAACATAAAATAGCCTTACTTAACATAACAAGAACATAGAACTGTAGGTTGCTGATTACTTGACTAGTTGAATCAGGTGTGGTAAAGCACAATAACTGAATATGCACAGACTGTCTACATGAATGATCAGATTTCAGAAAGGCACCTCTCTCGTCGCTTTTCGGCATTAGAAAGGATGAAACCTTGCAGTGGGGACCATACGGCGTTTCAATCAGGTGACCAGCTCCAGGGTAGGACAGAGTGGTCAGCAGGTGACTGTTCCCTGCTTTCTCCATCATCTGCTTCATCTGAGGAGGAGAAAAGGATGGAGTTTAGTAAGATGATCATTTCATATTTTCTCAGAAAGAATTAACTAAACTCATAAATTGTTATTTTGTATTTAAACAGCATTTATGATGCATACAGTAACTTACATCATCAGCTGATTCGACAGCGGCGTTATTCTGATCATCTTGTCCAACAACCAGCAGCAGAGGACATGTTATCCTCCCCATCTGAGGACAGAATAAAACAAAATGGAGCAGAACTGAACAGATCAATAACAATTTAGGAAACATTTGAAAATTGACAGATACAACAATACTTCTGAGCCCTCAATCTAATGAGATACTGGAGGATCATAATAGGACTGGAGAAAGTGTGAAACTGTTCCCAGTATTGGTTGAGTTCTCCAGCGTAATCTTTTAGAGGTCCTTATCATCCTGTCCGCCTGTGTGGGATACATTTCCCTCGCTACAATCATCCAAACAAGAGCAGAGGACTGAAGGGTCTTTCTGTACATAACAGATCTCTTACTTCCACTTTCAGGTCTATATCTTCTGGAATAGGTAGAAAAACGTCCCTCCAGATGAGGCGATTCTTCTCATCTCGACAGGCCTTTTTGTACCGGCTGCAAACGCATGAGCAAAGGTAATGTGCTTTAACCAAGTCAAAAGGTAATTTTCTTCTTTAAAAAAAATGGCTACTTAAAGAGCCACACATAAATTAAAAATATGAAGTATCAACTTACTTTTCTATCCTATTAGTGGCTTCTGCAATGGACTGAGTGGCTCCAATTCGGCCAGTATGGGTGCCACTGATGCACACACAACATCTTGGCTAAAAGGAGTAGATAAATATTTAATAATCGTAATAATAATACATTGTATGTGTAAATGCTACAAATGTTCCTGACAGAGCAAGATATATAGACAGTAACAGGACTGATAAACAACAATGCAACTTTTCTCTGATATTAATGTGGCAAGTGACTTTGTGATATTCCAAAACATAGACATACTCAATGATGGTGAGTATTACGCTGACATTTTGGTCTGGTTCAAGCGAATATGTATATATGTTTTTTCAGGAAATCAAAAAAAAATGACAGGAGTTGCTTAGGGACTTACCTTTACAGTTTCTGAGTAGGCAGTTATGGATAGAACCACTGGGACGCCAAAGGAAATGCCAAGCAGAGCACTTCTGTCAGCGGCCACTAGAGGATGATCCTGCAGTAGTCTGAAAGCATTCTGATGTACAATATACATGTATGATAGCAGTCCTTGGGATTCTTTCATCAGTCTTTAGCAGCACAAATTTGCTCAATCGTTCTTATATATCAATCTTTATCTTATCTTTTTTTTTAAATAGTACACTTATTTGCCGCAGTTCCCATTTCACAGGCATATGACACACACACACACACACACACACACACACACACAATACAGAGAAATACTGTATTTTGTGAATGGCTGTGCATCAACCATGATTTCTACAAGAAAATGGTGCAGACAAACAAACCTCAAAGTAAGGGTAGCCAATGGTAGCGTTTTTCTTATGGTCTGGGAAGAGATACATTACTGCCATGGCAGCAAAGCCGTGGGATGCCAAGAGAGCCGCTCGATATTCCACCAGCCCGCCACCACCTCCCCACATGTCTAAAACTCCGGGGAAGGGTCCGGGACCTTCAGGATGACATGACAAAAATATTATTGTTTGTTTCTACCAGAGAGCATGGTCATATTCAACATAGTCATATTCAATATAGTTATTCTGTGCCACAAAAAATGCTGTTAATTATCTTTGTGTCCTTTGTACCTGGTGGCAGGTGTATGTAGCTCATAGCTGCAACATACCTGGTGGCAGGAACAGGGTCCCTGTGACCCCTCCCTCTGTGATGTCAACCCTGCGGACTCCGGGGGCCATGTACCAGCGCTCTGTGACGACACTCGCCAGGGCCGCCTGCTCCCTGAACCCCTGACTCATGTGTCCCCTGTACACAGAGATGTGCACCACCATGGGAGTGTGGAGCTCCTTCTTCCTCAACCTAAAAGAGGTCGGTATGGAGCGCATTTAGTGCCAAAGGTCTGTATGCAGGCCTAAATCGATTTTGCAAATCAGTTTTTTTGTTTTTATTCCCAAATTATTTGGGATACGACCATTTATATCCCAAACCCACCAATCACCTCGGCCTTGGCCTGCGTGTCAGTATACTCTTATGAGAGATGGTGGCAGCAGTCGGATACTGGCAGGATGAACATCAAATGCTCACACTCGCATTATATTATGTTGCACACTCACTCATATTCAATAATAAAATCAGGTGGGTCGAAATGCTTACCTGAGTCCAGTTCTACTGCCAGGTACTGGTCTCATGCTCCACAACAGACCCATTGGCTCAACACCCTCATATGTCCCTCCTACACTTGGAGCCTTGGCAACTATAAATGACATAAAACTTGCCATTATCAATCACTCCCATTGTTCTTAGCTGGTATCTCATCAGACTGCCACTTGGGCAAGTCCTCTGACTGAGTATTCAATGTTCTGCCTTCAAATACTAATAGTTACAGACATAAATACATCTCCTAGAGTGTTTCGGAAGTGTTTTTCTATATTGTTGAAGTAGATAAAGAATGGAAAAGTGGCATTATTACTGAATGTTTCCCATTGGTATTTAGAGGTGTTTCTTTAGAAATTGGTTAAAGATATGATGAAATAATATCTCTCACCTGTGATCCTTCCCTGAGCATCACTGACATAGTGCCCAAACGCCTCCCAGTAGTCTGTGTCTTCAGACTGATGTAAAGAATGTAGCGTGACCTCCTGTGTCGGTGGTAAGTTCCCCACAACCACATGGAACTTCTCATCAAAGAGGGCTCTCGATGGTTTTACAGTCATCACAGGAACAGAATTCATGTCGCAAATTGTTGTAGTGGAAATGTCCACTAAAACAAATGTGTTGACCCTCTCGTAATAGAAAATAAGAGAAGTTGAGACTGTGTTCCTCTGACGACAAATGTGCATATCCACATTGCTGAACTGGCTGTACCCTATAACTGAAACTTTCTGCTGATAAGGATTCAGCAATAGCTATATTGTAATACCTGTTACCAGTCTATGAACTGTACAGTGTGTGCTGTTTTGTGTCTGAAGGTCATTATATAACAGATTTTCTGATCTGTCGCAGAGGATTAATAGACAATGTGTGCCTTTCCAAATCATGTCCAATCAATTGAATTTACCACAGGTAGACTCCAATCAAGTTGTAGAAACATCTCAAGGATGATAAATGGAAACAGGATGCACTTGAGCTCAATTTCGAGTCTCATAGCAAAAGGTCTGAATACTTATATAAGAAATGTTGAAGAATTTCTAAAAACCTGTTTTTGCTCTGTCATTATGTGGTATTGTGTGTAGATTAATAAGAATACAACGGCCTCCATCATTCTTAAATGGAAGAAGTTTGGAACCACCCAGACTCTTCCTAGAGCTGGCTGCCCGGCCAAACTGAGAAATCGGGGGAGAAGAGCCTTGGTCAGGGAGGTGACCAAGAACCCGATGGTCACTCTGACAGAGCTCCAGAGTTCCCCTGTGGAGATGGGAGAACCTTCCAGAAGGACAACCATCTCTGCAGCACTCCACCAATCAGACCTTTATGGTTGAGTGGCCACACAGAGGCCACTCCTCAATAAAAGGCACATGACAGCCCGTTGGAATTTGCCAAAAGGCACCTAAAGACTCTCAGACCATGGGAAACAAGATTCTCTGGTCTGATGAAACCAAGATTGAACTCTTTGCCTGAATGCCAAGCGTCACGTCTGGAGGAAACCTGGCACCATTCCTACGGTGAAGCATGGTGGTGACAGCATCATGCTGTGGGGATGTTTTTCAGTGGCAGGGACTGTGAGACTAGTAAGGATCGAGGGAATGATGAACGGTGCAAAGTACAGAGAGATCCTTGATGAAAACCTGCTCCAGAGCGCTCAGGACCTCAGACTGGGGCGAAGGTTCACCTTCCAACAGGACAACGACCTTAAGCACACAGCCAAGACAACGCAGGAATGGCTTCGGGACAAGTCTCTGAATGTCCTTGAGTGGCCCAGCCAGAGCCCGGAATTGAACCCGATCGAACATCTCTGGAGAGACCTGAAAATAGCTGTGCAGCGACGATCCCCATCCAACCTGACAGAGCTTGAGAGTATCTGCAGAGAAGAATGGGAGAAATTCCCCAAATACAGTTGTGCCAAGCTTGTAGTGTCATACCCAAGAATACTTGAGGCTGTAATCCCTGCCAAAGGTGCTTCAGCAAAGTACTGAGTAAAGGGTCTGAATACTTATGTAAATGTGATATTTCCGTTTTTGATTTTTAATACATTTGCAAAAAATTCTAAAAACCTGTTTTTTGCTCTGTCATTATGGGGTATTGTGTGTAGATTGGTGAGGGAAAAAACAATTTAATCAATTTTAGAATAAGGCTGTAATGTAACAAAATGTGGAAAAAGAAAAGGGATCTGAATACTTTCCGAATGCACTGTATGTGTAAAAATCTCACAACTCGTAGTACAAAAAAGATCATTTTCAATTGACACTTGTATAACAAACAAAATCACACAGTAACTTTTTCACCAAACCTAATCAGTGTTTCATCTAGAAATACCTTTCATATAAAGTAATTGCCTTTTCATCCGATTCTCTTCTCATTTGTTTAAATACATATGACCATCACTTAATCCAACTGCACTTAATGGTTAATCACTTAACCGTTTGGTAAACCTATAGATTTTAAACTGGTTTGTCCACTATATGGATTTTGAGAACTACAGAAATAAAATGTGTGTTTGTAAAGTATAAACATCTAAATTACATGTATGATACTTGATAACCATACACAATGTGTTTTTGGGCAGAAATGCCTTCTGGAACATGTGCATTTTCATGTGCCTTAATAACAAACTTGTATGCCATCTGTAAATACGAATAAAATTGTGAAATTACGAGCCTAGTTGGTTTAGCCACAGAAAAAGACAGCAACCTTCCCGCTAGCCATGATTGGCTGAGATAATGAGTGGGCTGGACATGCCGAGAGATGAGTTCGTATTGGTCTGCCATGTAGCACGCTTCTGTCTATTTGAGCTAGTCAGTATGTGTAGGTAATCCTGTCTAACGCTTTTTTTTTTAAATAATTTATATCGCATAGTAGATCTGCATAAGTGTTGCTCTCCACTTTCTGGAGGACCGAGTTTTGAAATCAGTGGAATTAGAGTATGATAGCTAAGGAGATGGAGAAAACACCTGTCTCCGGATTACATCTTCAAAGTAAGGGCAACTATGGCATCCGTGAGAGAGGGAGAAGCATCCATCCATGTATACGGGTAAGATAGTCTAGCATTTTCAGATATTAAACGTTTCTAATTTTGTCAGAAAGTCATATTAATTTCAAGTTAAGGTGTACTGTTAGCTCGCTAGGTGGCTGGCTCGCTAGCTAACGTTACGTGTATGATCTGTGTAGTAATATTATTCGTATCTCAGAGCCATTTGCTTTGCTAGTTATAGCCTAATGTTAGCTAGCTGCTTGGTTAGCTGTCTGCAGATTCATGCAGAATAGTAACGTCATGAGTTGGGATTATGTTTAATTTTTTAGCTAGCTAGCTACACGTCTTAACAAAATACTCCACTATGCAAGTATCCATTTCAATAGGGTGAGTAAAATGGTCAGTGATCTGTTCTCTCATTTGTGTCTGGAAGTAGCTAGCAAGCTAGCCAACATTAGCCAATTAGCTTGGGTGCTTGACTGCTGTTGTTAAGTCAGCTAGCTAACATTGAACCTGGTTGGTTAGCTACCTGCAGATTCATGCAGGGTAGTAACATCATGAGTTGGGATTATGGTTCATTGTTCATTGTAAGTAACCATTTCAATAGAATGTTAATGATGTCACTGCGAAAACTGTTGATAGACGTAGCTGGTAAATTCGCTTTGGCTATCTACTCCGATTTCAGAGCACTCCCATCTGAGTGTGCCAGAGCGCAGAATAACTGACGAATTCACAAACGCTCAACACCCGTTGAATATGGCCGGTGCCAGTAAATGTTGGCAAAAAGCATAAATTGTTGCCAACAGCACAGTTGCAGTCACCAACGCTCTGGATAACATAAAAACAGCCTAACCAGCTCTGCTAGGGCGAGTAAAATGGTCAGAGTGAGCTGTTCTCTCATTTGTGTCTGGAAGTAGCTAGCAAGCTAGCCAACATGCTTGACTGCTGTTGTTAGGACAGAACGCTCGGATCAACCCTTAAAGAGATTTACATTTACATTTTAGTCATTTAGCAGACGCTCTTATCCAGAGCGACTTACAGTTAGTGAATACATTTTTTTTTTTTTTTTTTTTTTCATACTGGTCCCCCGTGGGAAGATGGGTGGGGCTAAGGCTTAAGAAGGTGTGAACAATGCTGAATGGGTGTAGACAAAGAAGAGGTCTCCAGTAGGTGTACCAAAACATTCAAAGGCCATTTTCTCAAAAGTGGGTTATAGGTTTATCAACTTTTAAAGCAGAATTACTTTCCCATTGTTCCTCAACTATAGCGTATGATATACCATTTTCTAGCTCTGAGTCTCTACTTTTATCCAATGTAAAAAACACAATTTCAAATGTTTCTACATAAGACCGAATCGAGCCAGTCGGTCACATATCTTTGTTGATGTAGCGGGCTTCAACCTGGCCAAAACTCGTTGCCGTGGGCAGAACCTCATCGGCCAACGAGTGACCGTCCAAGTGCCTGGACAACGACGGGGGAAACATCTCTATGTGCGCAGCTATCTCTGAAGATTGTGTGGTAGGACATAGGCCATTACTTGGATCCTTAACGCTGCACACCTCATTGTGTTTCTCAAAGAAATTGAGCAGGCCTGTCAAGGTGAAGGGTTCACCTATGTCACTGTGAGGGACAATGTCAGGTTCCACCATGCAGAGGTGGTTCAGGCATGGTTTCGGGCGCAATACCGATTCATAACCCTATACCTGCCCCCATAATCTCCTTTCCCCCTATTGATGATTTATTTTCAGCGTGGAGGTGGAATGTGTACGATCGCCATCCCCATGAGTGTGCCACCCTCCTTCTGGCCATGGATAAGGCATGCAACAACATCAATGCAGACCAATGTCATGCTTGTCTTCGCCATGCCAAAAGGTTTTTCCCGCGGAGCCTGAACAATGAGGACATTCACTGTGATGTGGATGAGAATTTATGGTCTAATGCTCAAGACAGGCTTGATGCAAATTAATGAGTGCTAAAGGTTATGTTTTATTTTCATTCATTACATTTGTTTAATTTAATTTCTTACATTTGATTACAGACAGTACACCTATGTTTTAATTACATATGCATTTTTTTTTGCATGAATGATTGTAGAGGATGTCTTCATTGATCACACCTTTGATTACACATTGGATGGATAATTATAGATTTTCTGTCAATTTTGTTGGGTAATGTAAGTGTATTACCTAATATAAAAACTGTGTAATCTACTGTAATTTACAGTACTATAGCATATTACTTTCAGCACATCTATCATGTATTGTATCGTGCATTGTTTGCTATTGGATTAACTGGTAGTTAAAACTACTAAATTGAAAATATAACAATTTTCACAACGTATATTTTGAATCAATGGCTGTGTGGCGAAAGAAGTTTACAGTCCAAATGAATGCACAATGACAGGTTTTGAATGAAAGACTGGCTGCGTTACAAGTGTGACCAGTTTGGAGTTTTGTACTAAGATAGTGTACCAAAACGAAAAGAAAAAAAAACTGTAATAGCCTATATTTGGTTATTATGATATGTATTAAAAAGCTGTTTAATATAATGTAGCAAGTCATTACTCTATTCTTTAGAATTGCATTTTATTAATTGCATTCAATTTTGTTTCTAAAGTATGTAATGTATATACACTGCTCAAAAAAATTAAGGGAACACTAAAATAACACATCCTATATCTGTGACACTCTGGCTCTGGGACTTTTGTATTTG